ACTACAAACAAAGGCTGAAGTGTACTTAAATAAAACTCACGATCGGTGGAAATATCTGTACTATTTTTCTATTAAAATATAGTAACTTTTTATATGACATTAAATACAAATTTCAGATTGTATTTAATTTTCAGTGTCGCTAAATTTAAAAAAATATATATTTTTCATTCTGTTTTGGATGACGCCTTTGATGGCGTTTCATTATTAATCAAGTATTCATATGTTGTTTCTTTGTTTTTGTCACAAATTGATTATTGTTTGTGCTTTTTCTTCGTTAACTATTCTGGTATATTAATCTTGTATTATTCACCCATACAATCATAGTTAATTAAAATGGCCACTTCTTCAGACAATATGGTCTAAACCACCCTGATTTAATAAAATGAATTTCAAACACGACGTCGACGCCAAACGAAATGTTAATCGTCATTAGCTTTTGATTTTGTAAGATGCCAGCTAAAATCTCAATCGTCCTTAAGTACTTCAATCATCCTCTAATTTTAAAATCACGATCTTTCTTTGACCTTAGACACACTCACCATTTTTTTCCTTTTCTCAAGATTACTTAGCCGTATGTACTCTTCATCATTTATTATTATTTTATCAATTTCAATAATCTTTTTATTTCTGTTAGGCGTATTAATGTATATTCATAGACTTTTCATCGAAAACTGTCACTAACTTAACACTCACGGCGTCTGGTGCTTTTCTTTACTTTACATTTTTTTATTTCTTTTCTCTCTTTAAGTTAATTATTTTCTCTTCCTGATAGATATCAAAACCATCAAACTTACATTTTTTTTTTCTTTCAAGCAAAACTTTTCCTTTCTTTTTTCTTAAACGAAAACTTTTTTCTTCTTCTCTCTATCATCAAACTCCTTCAAGTTACTCTTTCAATCGTCACGCCCTCCTCCTCCTCCTGAAGACCTCACGAAAAAACGACAAAAATGGCAGCGACACATCTTCAGTCATTAAACTCTTTCTCGTCTGAGAACTTAACAATACTCTCAAAGCATGGTTGATTTCTTCAAAAAAAAAAAAAGGAATAAAATCGATTGTTAAGCTAACACCTTGTATTACACTCTCACAATATTTGCATGCACTATAAAGTAGCGAATTGCGAACATTTAAATTCCCAAATTTCCGCAACTTATCCAGATGACGGTGGTCCGTCTCCGTGGAAGCTTCCCAATTAAGAAGAATAGGCGCACATGTATAATAACTTGAACACAGATACAGTAAAGGCTCCTTATTCGCGGGGCATACGTTCCATAAAAATGCCGCGAATACAAAAACCGTGAATACGGAATGGTAATTTATATAGGAATATAGAGGATACGTTCCTAGGTGACAAAAAAAAAAAAAGTATAAAATATATAAAGAAATCAATTATTTGAAGTTTTTGAAAATTTTCATTAATTATCTTAAGGCTTAGGCAAAGGTTTGAAGAATTTTCTCTTAAGTTTCTCTTGCTTGGCAGTTTTTAAAAGCTCCTTCAATTCAGACTGGTACGGAGCAGTCTCATCAGCAATTTGCCTATTCATTCTATAGACGGATCAATGTTCATAAAGAAATCGCCAAGGTCATTTGACATTCTTAAACCTTCACTAAGATCTTTCAAATTAAATGTCAAGTTTCCAGTGCTTGTTAAAGCCTCTTCTTCATTGGGCTGTGAATTTAACAATTGCGATTCAAACAATTCCTGAATGTATGTCACTTGATTCTATCTTTTCGAATCCATCTCGTACTATTCCATTCGCGATTTCGGCTATGTTTGCAGTCAAAGTTTGAACTTGCACAGATTCTTCGTCATTTTCCGCAATCAGAGTAGGCCACAGCTTTTTCCAGCATGACTTCAATGTGTGTTGCTTCAGTTCTTCCAATGATGTTTACGACGCATTTTGCTATGTCAAATTTCTTCCTGCATTCCATAACATTCATATGAGGATTACATTCCATATTATCCAATATGATTTTGAAGATTCGTGTAATGTAATAGAGCTTAAAGATTTGGATTATTCCTTGGCCCATAGGTTGAAACAAAGCCGTCGTGTTGGGAGGTAAAAATGTCAGTTTTATGTTTGGATGCATAGTTTCAATTTCGCAAGGATGACCCGGTGCATTGTCCAAAACTAGAAGAGCTTTAAAGTCTAAATTCTGTTTTTTTAAATAAGTTTTAATATCAGAAACAAAACAATTCCGGAATCAGTCACAAAAAATCCACGAATAAAGAAATTTATAGGCGCCAGTATAGAAATTGGGTCGCATTTTTTTAATCCCCGAATAGTGAAACCGCGAATAAAGGATGCGCAAATAAGGAGCTTTACTGTATTTATTTCTTAGCGTCTATATATGCATACATATTCCTACATCAAGCATACAAAACTCAAAGTCATTAATACAACCTCTCAAAATAAAGTAGTTGTCCTGTAATTATTATCGATTATTAAAATAAATTTAAGCGAATATAAATTTGTATTATTCTTTTAGTTTATATTAAATGTTTAACTGCATGCTAACACCCCTTTTCTTGAACTGATAACACCCTTCTGCGTAGAACAAATATTTTGCGACGCGGTCTTCGTATGCAGTAAAATTAATTATTTGTATTTACTGAAAATTGCATTATTTCACTTTACTTGAACAACAAATAATAATTGATCTTATCGTCAACAGTCCTCATCCATTTTACTAAACAAAACAAAAAAAAGCAAGTAAAATGTTATTAAATAATCAAGTAATGTTGGGAAATATTTGAGGATATATAAGGCTATCGACTTTTATTAAAAACTCTACCGCACTTGAGATTCGAACCCACGACCATTGACTTGCTAGTCGAGATTCCTCGCCTTCGGCTACTCAGGCGGATCTGAGGAAATATAAACCGGCATATCTTTGGCAGTTTCAAATGTAATTTTATTGAAGTAAAAGATATAAAGAATAAATCCGCTGTAAGATATTTTGTGAAAATTATAAAGATGGGATTTATTTATATAATAGGAAACTAGGATCCATTTGCAATTAATTTTAAAATATTATACATTCTTTATAAGTAAAAATTCTCCGAAAGAGTGAAAATATTAAACTGTTTCCCTTCATTTTATTGCGTCAAAAATTTTGCAAAAATTTACATTCGTATGATTTTGTTATTGATGGTATTACAGTAAATAAACAAGCATCAAATTTGCCTCTTAATTTCCAATTATTTTTTCGAAATCAGTTCCAATTGAGGAACGGCATATATAACTCTCAACCAAATGGTTCTCAAAGTACGCCTTCGAAATGAAAGCTAATTAACTGAAAGGTGCATAATCAGAGACATAGAAATTTAGCCTTAAAACTTTTTAAATTAACTCTTTCATTAATTCCCCAGGTTTTATGGTACGTCATAATTTCTTGACATTATAATATCATTTTTGATTTAGTATTCGTTTTATTTATTTTTATTCAATCAATTTATTCATATGCTCATTTGCATTTTAAAATGATTTTAATTTTAGCATTTTATTTTGCTTGTCATGTTACGAAACCTTTCTCCTTGACATTATTACAATAATTTTATAATTAATACTTTGTTTGTTGCAATGTTAGTAATATCTTCCAATAATTTTTTTAAAGGGGAAAATTCTAATAAAATTAATTTACAAATAGCCAAACGATTAATTCAAAACATTTATAAAAAAGATTAACTACTGGACAAAACGAAGAAAATCAACGCAAGAAAAATAATTAAAATGTTACGTGGCAAACATGTATGTATAGATAATACACGTGTGAAACTTTAAATTTTTTATGTCACTCAACAACTCGAATCTCTCTTTGTATTCAGCCCTTCACAAGTGACTCAAAACTGTATTTTGGCCAACGTTGAGTACCATTGAGATATCATAAGATGCGTTGATCTTGTCCAATATTTTTAAAAAATTTTATCAAGTGAGACGCTATTTTAATGGCGAAATTTTTAGATTGGAAACGAGTAAACAATGCAGGTAATTTTGCGAAGAATCTTCACCACAAATACTTTGGCCTAAAAGAAGCACATTCTGTGAAAATGCACAGTCTCTCGACTGAATTGTAATGTTACTTATGTAATTATTTACGAACTATTACATTTCGAAAGCGCCATAATATGGGTTTATAAGATTAGTATTAACAAAAACAATCCGATTCTAAGGCCAACCACTTGAAAAAAACTCAACCAACTTTCTCAGCCATCTGGTATAGTTAGTAGCAATTACGTGTATTCACAGAAATTTCAATGTTAAGTGCATAATTTAGACCTATAAATGCGGATATTTTTTAAAAATTATATTAGTTATATTTATAATAAATATTTATATTTAAATTTTATATTTATAATAAAAAGAGTTGCATTAAGTATTTCATTTTAATTGCGATGTGCATAGTTGCCGAAATTTCAATAAAATAGATGTCTTAACTAGCTTAGTATAGTTATAGCAAAGTATAGTCACTTTTTTTGGGGTATTACATAAGCATTCGAACCTTGTGGTTGTTCAGTTGTTCAATTGTCGGATCTAAATAGCACAGCTGAAGAGCATTGAAAAGTGGAGCAAAAAATAAAAATTTCCGACTAAAAAAAAAAATTTATAATACCTCCACAACTTATATAAAGTTTTCTCAAAGATAAGGAACGCTGTTTGACTCATCAATTAACTGTTGGATCAATCAACTCAAAATTCTGAGTCCATTCAGTCTATATGCTATATTTATAGAATTACATTACATTCATTTCTGGGAGCACGTACAACAGCAAACTATTATATATTTCCATTTTTTTTTTTCGGTAAATTAAAATATGAGCACCACTTTTTCCTTACAATATTTATTCTCAAACAAAGTATATACATGCATACATGAGATATAAATAAATTATACTAAGAGGCATAGCATCTATTTGTCTCTTTTTAACGTATATCGCTGATATTTTGTGAAGTTAAACAAAAGCTTTTATTACAGAGAAAACAGCACTACGCAATTAACCGGCATTTATTTGCGCCATTTGTCAGCAAAACAAACTGCAATAAGTCTGTTGTTACAAAAAGTCGTGCCATTTTAAAAGTTCCATTTAACGCAGACGGTTCAAACTAGCATTGACTGCGAGTGCACTGAAAGGGAAAATATTTTGCAAATATTTCCAAGAAAGCATAATCAAAAAACAATTGCAGGGTAAGTATGTGTGCGGATGGCATTTTCTATGTAAATTTATATATGACTGCAATTAGTTTTAAGAATAATAACAAATGACAAATATCAAACTCTTTCTTGAACAAAACGAAGGCAGATAAAAACACTGCATATGCAAGCGGAAGCTGTATAATTTCTAGAATAACCTAGGTCTACAAGTTTGTAAGAATTTTTTTCACGTACGTTTTCTTGCCTAAGGTACATTTGTAACTTTTTATTGGAAATCGAAAAGCAGGTGTTGCTAAGAGAGTAAGTCCCGTCACACCTCTTTTTGTAATGCGAAATAAATTAAAAAAACAGCAATTGTGAACGTTAAGTTGCTCGTGTATGTATAACTTAGTTTCCCAAACGATTATTGTACTAGTGTTGGTTTGAATTTATTGTATTACGTCCAATGCAGATAATTAAAACATAAGAAAACAGTTGTCCCAACCATGTAGAGAAACATTTTGTAATAGTTTACACATTAACTTAAGGAACTTGTTTTCTTTCACAATGTTAAAAACGTGGAAGCTTTTCCCGTACATATTCATTCACAATCACAGGAGGGCAATATGAACGATTTTTTGTGCCATTTTTAAATGAGTTGAATATTCAATCGAATATATCTGTTCTTCCATTGCTAAGATTCCTATATTTGCAAGAATTGAGAAGAATGTTATTTCTAGTGAATAGCCACGGAAACATTTTAAAAATAGTCATGATCTATTGTCATTAGCCGGAAACTAACAGCAGGGATTTATCCGTACTAACATTCTTCGGAAAAACACGGTTGACTGGCCCGCAACTAATACAATGTTTTACAACCTTTGTACATTTTTTTGAGGGCTTGTGTGCAAAAGTTGATCTAGCGTTTAGTATGCTTAGTTCTCTTTAGTAAATTAATTGTCAACTGGTGCAATGACATAACGCATACATTACATATCTCACAAAAAGCAAATAAAAACGAAATTTAGAAATATTTTGGAACACCGTGTACAAGGATTTTCCTCTATTTTAACTAATTTTTGTATAGAATTATCGAAATGAAGTTTTATTTATTTTTGAAATATAAAACTTACATATCCATGTATATTTTACAGATGCCCAACTTACAGCAACAGGCTCCCGATTTCAAAGGTCCCGCGGTCGTCAAGGGTGCTTTTCGTAACATTAGTTTGGTAGATTATCGCGGCAAATATGTCGTCTTATTCTTCTATCCCCTGGATTTTACTTTTGTCTGCCCAACTGAAATTGTGGCTTTTTCGGATCGCGCTGATGAATTCCGTAATATTGGCTGTGAAGTAATTGCTTGCTCAACCGACAGTCAGTACACACACTTGGCCTGGGTTAATACACCACGTCGCCAGGGCGGCTTGGGTGAATTGGATATTCCATTGTTGGCTGACAAATCGATGAAAATTGCACGTGAATATGGTGTTTTGAACGAAGAAACTGGTATACCATTCCGCGGTCTATTCATTATTGACAAAAACCAAATTTTAAGGCAAATTACCATAAACGATTTGCCAGTGGGACGCAGCGTAGATGAGACATTGCGTTTAGTGCAGGCCTTTCAATTCACCGACGAACATGGTGAAGTCTGTCCGGCTAATTGGAAACCCGGACAAAAAGCTATGGCCGCAGATCCCCATAAGTCCAAAGAGTACTTTGCGGCCACTTCATAAATGCTGTTGCTGTACTCACGCTAATGATCGCCTACATACCGAGATAGCTGAATAATGTTAAATGCAAATAATAACCAACATTTAAATAAAGGGAGAAACAAATCAAGAATTACACATTTTAGTTTTTTAAATTGTATTTTTCAATACATTGTGGGAACAATAGCATAGTCTCATTCTTTATTGTTTAGAAAATGCGCTATTTGGAAGTATGAAGTTCTATGAATAGCACACGATTCTATATCACTGTTTAAAATAAAATTATGAAAAAGAAAAATTACCCATTTGTGTAAAAAAAAGAGCTTTAGATATAGCAATTTTACTGCAGGATACGAAAAAGGTGCTTGCATTTCATCCACACGAAATTGGGCGGTCTTGTGTAGAAAAACTAACCCAAACTTTGCGTCACGTCGCCATTCAACAATTACAAATTTATTTTTGGAAAATTTCTCAAAGCATTTCACACAATCGCTTTCTGCTAAAGTGCCGTCGATTGTACGCAAAGCATATTTTGTGAATTTGAAACGAGCTTGCAACCAGAGAAATCGGTGAGGGTAAACGTATGCAGACTAAAAATTATTGAATTTCGGGTCGCATATCTAGAGTTGTTCACAATAAAAAAGGCGCTGATTATATATGATTTTAATTTGGTTTAATTTTCGAGCCTTAATTTTGTGAGAAACGCTCTCTCAAAATTGTCAAAAAGGGCCTAAGCGAAACTGCTCTAGCCTTTAGTTCATATTGGTTGTTCAGACCTTTATTTATAGAAGAAAACGGCCGCAAACTGAAATGAAAATAAGTTTCAAACAAAGTTGTTTACTTACAAACAGCTGAACGAAAAGAAAAATTTTAAATTTGTGGAAGGTATGTTAATTAGTTCTTTTTCCACTTTTTGGTCCAATTATCTAATTGATACTTAATATGCTAAAGATTGTAATCGATTGTGCATCATGAAACTTGCATATAAATATTAGTAATAACTTCATTTTTCAAAAATATAAATTAAGCTTTTATATTTTTCTAGGTCGATGGCGTATTTTAATAGAAGGGTCGAAAAGCATATAATATTTAAGGAAGATGAGAAATCTTGCAAATGTTTGTGCAGCCCTTTTTAACATTTATTCGCACTATAAGGTGCAAAATCGGGAAATTTACAATGTAACATCGGCAGCTTCCGCATCTTATTTCGACGACGGTGTCGACGTTTCGCTAGAGTTCTTCCGGTTGAGGCGAATAAGTGAGGAAATAAGGCTCTTCTGCACTTTCAAATTGAGTCGTATTGAAATAAAAGACAAAAAGAATGAATCTGCTTTAAGATGTTTTGTGAAAATTAAAAAGTTCACGTTTATTTATATAATGCAACACTAGGGTTGATTTCCAATTCATTTTAAAACATTGTACATTCTTTATATATAAACTCATATGTTAATGTATAAAAATATTATATAAAATAAAAACATACATATTAAAATATAGCTCAAGTTCACAATTCAATATTATCTTAAGAAAAGAAAATATGAAACTACATGAACTATATAAAAGTAATTTCACTTAATTTCATTTTATCATCCCATTATTTTTTCAAAATAAATTTCAAAAGGCGGAAGCCTTAAGATACATAATTAGTGCTCTGAAAATAATAAGTATTGACGAGGCGTTTTGGTTTCTTCTCTTATGATAGTGCAAGAAATGACGAGATAGACTGAATCTAAAGTCATCTTACGTAAATAAACATAATGCCTTTTAGTTACTACTAAATCGATGCGGACAAATATACGATGAACAGATGCCTACGTGATATAAAAGCAAAAAAGACATGCATGATGGCAATTGGCCAAAGGCAGCAAGCATAGCTTTTGCACAATGGCAAAGGGTGGCAGGCAAAAATTTGGCATAATTTTCCCACCTATTCGCTTAAAAAAGAAAAATGAAAAGGAAACATTCCAAATTGCAATGACAATGGAAAGAAAATGCGTCATTTATAATTAATATACATATTTGCTATCGCACCGCTTATCTTAATACGTTATCATTTATTATAACCATTGAAATTTTTCCCTACTTGTTTTGATGGCGGTACAATAGTATTATAAAATATTAAGGTAACCTTTGTAAACTGGATGTCTCGTTATACTGTAACTCTGTAATAAAAAATAAGCTTTATTTGGGTTGAATCGGATATGTCCGCAATATGCATCAATTTTAAAGCACTTTTGGGAAAGTGCAGCTAATGCTAAGGCGTGTTGGATAATACCGTGTCTAACCAACACTAAAGCATGTATGATTTCGCCGACATGCATCAAACATAGTATAAGATAATCTCATTTACATTGATCAATATATATATATATATACATGAAGAACCAAAGTCGTCCTACGTTTTGGCCTCGCAGGTTCTTCGTCTCTGAGGGGGAGTGCTAGAGTAAGTTAGGTTAAGAGAGTTAGGAGTAAGTAAAGAGAAATCAGAAGAAGTTATTTGCTTAAATCGAAGTTTGTCAATGCTACAGTAAGCTAGGCAGAATTAGAATTAAGAAATTAGAGTAAAGAGAAATAAGCCGAAGTTTAGTTAAATTTGTCAGTGCTAGAGTAAGTTAGAGAAAGTTAGTTGATCGCGGGGTGAGTGAAAGAGTTGACGTTTTGCTCTGGTTGGTGCGGTTACAACGACGATGGTGATAGGTCTTTAGATTAAGAAAGGTGAACTTTTATTTGAAGTAGAAAAAAGCAGAATTGTCAAAGAAGAAATACCGAAACATATTTTTTAAAGAAAAAATATTGTAAAGAAGTGTACGAATCTTATATAAATTCAAAGTGAGAAAATAATGCGATTAAATCTGTTTTAAAGAAGTTTTTATCGAAAGCAAAAGAAAACTACACGAATTTTATTTTCAAGTAAGAATCTACTCATGAATGGTCTTCAATTAGTATTATTTCTATTGGAGTATGTTGTTGTCAGAGACCAACTAGGCTAGATAAAATTTCTTGATTATTAATTTACAAACGTTCACGTTCGTTGTCCTAGTAATATGTTTTGGGAAAATTCGTAAATTCTTAATTATTTCCATGTACATACATGCCGATAGCCTGTGTTGCTAGTGCTCAATGTCTCTTTTTTTTAGTCTAAGAATTCAATTCATTAGTCTAAAATTAAAATAATAATAATAATAATAATAAAATTGTAAATGTTCCTTTCGTATTCATACACATATATATATTCACTCCCTTGTGCTTTGCAGCTAATGGTCTTACACAGTTAGTGACAAATTAGTTTTGAAAGCGCTCCATCATTAAGTTAATAAATAGAGTTGTTAGTACAAAGAAGCGCTATTCAAAAATGTCCTTATATTATTGGCTTAAAGCCGCCACAATTTGAACGTGCTAGAACAGCTATTGTGTTGCTATTAAAGTCTTGGACTATCTATTACATACCTGGATAATATCTTATTTCGTTGAAAAAACTTGATAAACAGTAGATCCTTTCTCACATTTATATTGTGAAAAAGTCCGTTGGAGATTTCTTAAAATGACGTTATAATCTGTGAAATATTTATCAAATACATTTGTGTACGTTCAAGTGCACATTGGTGGCCGTATTCTGAGCAACATCACACGCATTCTTTGTCCGTGTTTGAGTGATTTAACAACCTTTTTTCATATCAAAATTGATGTTGAAATGTCCTATTGTGGCTACTCCTTTGAAATGCCAAAATTAATGTAGTCAAAACAAAATTTGAAACGAAAACAAATTATTCTCGCTTTTGAGTACTGACCAGTGACAGAGCCAGACTACACCACATGCTATGATATACATACGTATACATACGTATACAAATCAAATCTTGAAATGCGCTTTAAGACTTTAGTCTTAGAATTTATTCTCTGGCTAAATTTGTAATAATAATAATAATAAAAAAAATGCGTAAAGATGGCGGGGCAAACGTTATTCGTTTTTGTCTCGTTGTTTTTTAATTCACATTGGGCATTTCTAGATTTTATATTCGCCAAAAGCTTCAATATACTCTGTAGAACTGTACAATTTTTTTTACAATTAAAACGTCGCAGTAATAATTTATCTTCTTTAATATAAAAAAATTCTACATACATTTCTTTCTGCATGGTGGCGAATAATACAAATCAATTTTTCATAGTCAGTTTTGCCATTGAAAGAAAATAATGACCTAGGGAACTGAGTAAGCATATGCTTAAAAATAAGCATTTGATTATTCGCAATAAGTTTTCATTAAATGTAATAATAATTGGAAAACATACCTTTTTATCAAAAAAAGTAAAAAAATCGAAGGATTTAACATTATAACATTATTGTTACAATAACATTTGCTTAACAAAAAAATAAATGAGGAGCGATAATATAGAAACTGTAAAAGAAAAAAATTGTAAGAAATTGTAAAATATGATAAGTATGGTCTACAAATGCGAATTAAACAGATTTGATTGAAATAAGCTTTATCTAAATTCTTCCGCATTTTATTGTTGATTTTAATACGTGGGTGGTAAATAAATTTTACAAGGACAACGCAGCATATATAGATGGGTATCACATACCACAAGTACCACATGAGTAATACAAGGATTTTATTATAAGTTCCACGCCAACAACATATAAGGACAGGCTTTTTCCCAGCATGGTGCTATGAGATTGGAATGCCCATAGGCATTCTGTCTGATGCCTCATTAAGAATGCTCCAAGTTTAAAATGTAGAGATTTGGCGGAAACATATCGCATTTCTTGTAAATATATATATTTTTTTAAGTTGAGGTCTTTTTTTTTAAGAGAAAAAAAGTAAGTCATGTCATTAAGTTATAAATGGTTTCGTAAGGAAACATAAGGTTTCTGTGTTTGATTATTATAGTTGATAATAACTTGACGGACAAATTAACGTAAATACATGACGTAACGGATATAGAATAAAACAGATGAATAATACGACAGCTTATAGCCAGGATAGACAATAAAGGCTTTGAGAAGAGTCATATTTTAATTCATTTCTTTTTGATATCTACATTATTTTA